CCTGGAAGAATCAATTCTGATTATTCGTCAAATAAGCAATAATCCGAAGGCCGTTTTCCTGGTACCCACCCTGTAGAGACGAGGTAATCAAGAAAACACGACCCAAAAGCAAGATAAAAATAAAACAAAACACATTAAAGCAAGACACAAGATAAACATACACACGCAACTACAACGAACATCAAGAACCAACTCCACCCCTACTCTGCTGCATCCGGAAATGTGAGGTTCTCCTGCCGTCTTTCCCGCGGCATCACATGCAAAAGAAACCAGTATTCAAACTTTGACTATTTTCATTTTATTTTTTTCAAATATATATGTGGTAGACATCTTGCGCCTATATATAATACTACATAAGAAACATGGTATCTCCAAATCCCATTTTATCCCGTTACGCTGCCAGTCCTCGAGACTTCACTTAACTGTGGCGTCTGTGCGCAGATATTGCTAAACGTCACCCGCCCCCCACCCCCTCCTCTCCGTTACGGCAAGGGGGTGGCTTCGTAGCGCAGTTCATCTCCTGCGTTGATGGGGCGCCGCGCCTTCATAATAACGCAGCGCTCACCGGGACGAGAGAAAGTGCCACTGGTACAGACCTCCAGGTTGCTGTGTGTTGTTGTCGCCCCGCCGCCCACGCTCTGGCCTCCCGTCCACGAGTGCACTTCGTCTGGTTCATGGGTGAGGGAATTGATCGAAAGCACCGATGCCGCCGGCGACCCACCCTTTCGGAAGAATAGCGGATTCCGAGGGCCGTCGTGCGGTGCCCCTGCACCAAAAAAACGTGTACATGCATCCCCTCCAAATGCAGAAAGGTCCGACACGGTGCTTGTCAGCGGTCCCATCACCGCCACAGGGGCGGTGTACTGCCGGCAGAGGCGCTCCCACCCCTCACGGTGGTGTTCAGGAACCCTGTTTTCAGCAGCAGCGGTGAGGACGCACCTGGGCACCACGCAGTAACTAGAGAGACAAAAGTCCCACAGCTGCTCCATGAAGCGCCGCTTCCCTAAGAAGCCCAAAAGACGACCGAAGGTCCACACAGAAGGATTATGGAGCATGTGTGATCTGAATTCAGCGTGCTCCTCCGCCAACCACACTGTTAGCGATCCTACATCCATAAACAGCTTTGGGTGACGCGGGGCACGGTGGCCACTGCTGCACGACTCTGTCCTAGGTTCATCCGAATGTTTGCTCGCCCACATTCGGCTGACACCACCACCACTACTACCACTACTACCGGAAGCAATACTCTGAGCGGTGTTAGAGCTCACAGAAAGACTAA